GGGGTCATCAAGAAGGGACACAATGTTCATGAGGAGTGTGAAAACAGAAGATGGAAAATAAAAGAATTATGTGGTTAAGAATGCTTCCAATATCAAAAACAGGTAAGAATTAAGTAATACATACTCGCTATCATAGTAGTCTTAGAGTTTCCACCCAGGCTGTCTTTTAGCAGCCATGTCAGCACAGAATCTCTGTAAGGAATGAAGATCTGTTTTGTTGTTGACACTCCTACACCAAGGTCAGCTGAGAGTATCAAAAACAAAAAAGTACTCGGTCAAATACTAGAAAGGTAAAATGTCTCATCCACAAGTTGTATATAAATTCTGAGAACTAAATGCTCACTACTATATATGTATTCTTCAGAAAAAGGCATCTAATTATCAATGGAATATGCATTTCAACCATAATTTCAAGGGTCGTTTATTTTTTTGCTTTGTTTTTGTTTTAAATTACTTGACTACTTGACTAAATTCAGCCAATGTGATATCCCTCACTGGTCAGTGAAGTTATGTCTAAGCATATCTTGCTTTATATCCTTTTTTATCCTGTAATTTACTGTCATTTGCAAAACAAATATTATGTTACAGTAAATAAACCTTGAAAGTAAAGACTGAGACATAAACCCATCTAAAGTCTTTACTGAGGTCACCGATCAAGGAAGCATCCCACAAACATCTCAACAATAAACCTCATTTAAAAAATAAGCAGAGTCGCCCTCTGCTGGCCATTGTAAAAAGTATAGGTCTAATAGCCCTTCTGCTGCACAGCTACATCCATCTTTCATATAGATTTCTATGTAAAAGAGTTTGATTTGACAGCTAAGAAAAAGGAAAAAAAATGAGGGTTGTAAATAGGTCCCAAACAGTAATTCCACAGCAAAATGACTGACTGCCTTTACCTAGAGCTGAGATCACATATCCCAATGTGACCAGAGATTTGTTTATGTCGGCACTTTCCTTCAACCTGCCTCCTACTGTGCGTGTGGGATCAACTTTCTCGCTGCCTGCCAGGTCTACCAGGTGGATCTTACTCACTGTCTCGTATAAAGGTTCTGCATCACACCACACCTGTCCCAGGAAACAAAAAAAGGCAATATCACAGAAGAATATACTTCAGTGTATAAGTGATATCACAAACAGAGAAAATGAAAGCTTATGAAAAATAACACCACAACAGATCAGGTCTCATTATCTCATAAAAGTCTCAGCGTTTTTGGGGGACGGCTTTTGTTAACACCCAAAGATCTCTAGCAAACATTTTACTTCAGCCAAATTCAAACATCAAGCACATTGTTTCACCTGGGTGAACATTATGGTGAAGATGGCATGGGAGCGTTTGCTGAAGTCATTCACTCCCCTGCTGGCTGTGGTGCGCTTGGCATTGCCGAGAATGATCAGGCCCTCCACTTCACTGTAGCTTTGTACTAAATGCTTGGACAGATCTATGAGTTATATATATTTTTTTGCATCAGATTTTATGCATTTTATGCAAACACAGCTAGGAAGGACATAGAATACAGGATAAAAACAGTCTTACTCTCTACATAGGGACCATGCCTAGGATGCTCCCTCACGCTCAAGCCCCCATCATCTGTAGGTGATGCTCTCTTTTTGAGAAGATCCTGCACCCGCTCATTGCAGATCTCAAGATAGCTGGTACAAAGATAAAAATACAATGTAGAGCCATGATTGATTTTAAAAAGGTGACAAAGATGCAATGCAATATCTGTTTTCATTGTTAATCTGCATATTGTGCTACCAAATACCAACAAAGTTACTATTAACTCTAAGAAAAGAGATGCACAGTGAGGCCAAATGGTTGTTCTTATGGCGTTCTGCATGTACTGGCAAAAGAAATAATGAAAAATATGGAAAGCAGGTTTGAAAGAGTGCTTTAATCAAAGTTATGGTGCATCTGTGCAAGATGCAATGGGACTAGTGTCTGATTCAAAAACAATGCGGGGCATAAAGCAATTAGGCTTTAGAGAAGCATGCATGGCAGTAATAAAATGGGAGGAACCATGCCCTGCTCATGTAGCAGTGTATGTTTTTTCCTGGCACAGGGCTGAGAACTCAGACAGCAAACTTAGCATTTTGTTGTTGATGTTGTTTTATTTTTTTTATTTTTATGTATTCTGAGGAAAAAACAAAGTCAAGCTCTGCAGCTTCTTTTGTGTGTATATATATATATATATATATATATATAAATAAAAGAACAAGTACAGATGTTTTAATTGTCAAATGTTGTACCTGAGTCTTTTTAAGATATTCTTTAAAAATAAAAAATTAAAAAAAAAAAAAAATCACGGACAAGCAAACGCGATCAAATAAAATCCAATTATAGAGTTAATTTAAACGCAAATAATGTGCCAGCAGCGCACATGCAAACAGATGGCAAAACAATGATTTCAAAGTAGTTTGACTTAAAAGCAGCAATCTAATCTCCTAACATAATAATTTAGGGGAACAGCTGGGACATAAAACACACTGTGATGAGACTAGATTTCATCTGGGATTTTGAATATTACAGGGTTATAGCAATAAAACTTTGTGCCTTTTTCTGGTTTCATTACATTTAGGCCTTTCAATTTTTCTAAATGATGTGACTGTTCCAGCAAAGTGAGAATAATGATGAACGGGAATGGGTTTTTTACCCTTTATTACTGCTGGCTCATTTATATTCTACAATTAAGAACAACTCAATAAGAATCATCACGGCACATCACTCTGACTTCTGAGTCGAGTTACCATCAGCTAAAAACAGTAGACCTTTGCACAAAGTACATAGTTTCGTATAAACAACAGGAAAAACTCTGTATCCAGATGCTCTCCAGCAACACCAGTAGTTTTATAAAACTGTTTAATGCTCAAAGTCTTTTTAATATCTTTTTAATTCACTGGCCTCCATGTCTCTTGTGAAACAACGGCATTGCACACGTTTTTGCTTCATATCCTTCGTTCTCCACATTCTGCATAATAATTAACCTGCCCAACAAAGCAGAACCACCTCTTTAAATTTGTTTCCCTTCAAACTGGTTGAGAATTCTCTCTGAGATTAATGCTTATATAAAGTTTCATTTCAATTCAACTCAAGCTGAATTATATAGCACCAACTGACAAGAGCCATCTCAAGGTGCTTTAAACCATAAAGATCCTACAGTATTCTGAATAAAACCACAGCAATCAGACGACTCTTTATGAACAGCAATTTGTGACAGTGGGAAGGAAAAAGTCCTTTTTAGCAATGAAAGTTTTAAACCTAATCTTAAAAGTAGAGAGGGTGACTAAGGCGCTACCTCCTCCCATTCCAGTTTAAGAAACTTAACAACAGCAAGTGAGCCAGTCTGAGAGCAAAATGCTCTATTGGGATAATATGATGGTATGAGGTCTTTAAGATACGATGGGGCCTGATTATTTCAGACTTTATATGTCAGGGGAAGGATATTAAATTCACTTCTGAAGAGAACTTAATATAGAGGAAATGTGCTTTCTAGTCCCTGCCAGTGGTCTTACTGCAGCATTTTGAATTAACTGAAGTTTTTGGTGGACATTTTTGGAACAACTTAATAATGAATTACAGCAGTACAGCCTAGAAGTAATAAATGCATGAACTAGTTTTTTTTAGCATCACTCTGAGGCAGGATCTTTCTAATCTTAGAGATATTACACAAATGCCAGAAAGCAGTCCAACATATTTAATTTTTGCATTGAAGGACTACAAGATTCCTCAAGATTCCTTTTTAGGGCCAAATATTGCAACACGGGGTTTGTCTGAATTTAGAAGAAAATTAAATGTAACCCAGGCCTTGATGTCATTAAGCTAACCCTAATAACAGATTTTTGTTATCTGGTCTCATGGATAAAGAAAGCTGGGTACCATCTGCATGGCAATAAAAACCTATGCTATGCCTTCTAATGATACTGCTGAGGCAATTTACTGAAGCATGTATAATGTAAATATAAATGGTCCTAGCACAGAACCCTGTGGAACAATGACTAAGCTACATGTGTTAAAGACTCCAAATTTACATGCACAAATTACAATCTAACAGATTTAAACCATTCGAGCACATTTGCTTTATTATCAATGCTGTGTTTTAATCTCTAATAAGATTTTGTGGTCAGCGGTATCCAATGCCACACTGAAGTCTGTCAGGACGACCTGAAACAAGGCCACTGTCAGAGGCTATAAAATAATAAGGGAAAAAAAACCCTTGAAGATCCATCACTGACAAAAAATAAGTTTCTCTCTACTGAAATAAGATTTCTGAGCACATGTTTGAAAGTTAAGTGTGATGGTTCTTTACCTGACCTCTGTGTGGAACATCACGGCATCGCTCTTGCTCCTGTGAGATATCTCCCAGAACAAGCCTTCACAGATCCGTGGGATTAAACCTTTATCGTGCTGACACATTAGAAAGGAAACAAAATGATACAGACACTTTAAAATGACAATTATGCTCCTGCTATGCTCTTTTAATTTGGGTGTCGTACTATGTAATGCTGTGCCATGACCACAACTCAGTATATGCAAAGTCTGCTGAATAACACAAACAGCTCATCCTGATATAGAATTACTGAAGCATAAAAGCAATTCCAGTCTGAGCTACATGCCCTCTTGTTTTAATTACAAAGTAACAGATAGTAAGCATTAAAAGCCATATATAATTATCTGGGATGTTGACAGCAGCTCTGGTGATGACCTTGCAAAAGTCTCCTGGTAGACAAGCTGAAACCTCACTGATAATGTGAAATTCCCATTGCTGTGCAAGGTGAGAGAAAAAAAAAAAAAAAAAAAAAAAGCAGTGGGTTGCTGGCCTCATCAAATTTTCTGATTAGTAAGGAGAAACAAACACACCTGATGAGGCCGCTATCAGCCAGCCTCTAATGCGGCGAGAAGTCAGTGCTGTGTGCACAGTGGGGTTAGCACTACTGCAGTGTTATCTGTAAAGAGCTGTGACATCCCATAAGTCCCTGATTATGGTCGGGTTTATTTACAGGTCACATTCGGCATGCATTTTGAAATGAGGCATGAAAATTAGGCCCTGTACCTCAATTTTTCACCACAAATTATTCTGGTAAATATGGACAAAAAAAATCTGAATGAAAGGCATGCACCTTCAAAAAAGGCTTATCACAATTATTGATGGCATGTCGAAGAACAGACTTAAACCATTGACTCCTACAGTGAAGGGATTCAGTCCCTATCCACAGGGCACGATGACTCACAGAAACAGTGTGAAAATGAATGAATTTGAATAGTACGCTATGACCTTTACAGTCACCAGCTCTCAAACTAATTCTATGTGAAAGTTTGGACTGATGCGTGTGACAGAGCTCTCCATCCCTGTCATCATAATGAAAGCACCAAATAAGCATTTTTGAGATCCATGGTTTCCCTCAATTCGACTTTGAGAGACTTGAGACAATATTAAGGTACCGGGACACCACAAAGGCACTTAAGGTTGATGACACAAATCATCAATAAATTGCATTTAAACCTTTGTTACAATGTTTGCCAAGTTAATAGAAGACCTTACTGAAGGACCCATCATAGTGTAGGACTTCCCTGAGCCTGTTTGCCCATAAGCAATCACGCAGGCATTGCAACCCTCAAATGCAGCTTTCAGGACTTCAAATCCCAAGTCTCGGAAGATCTGAGGCAGCAGAGAAAAGATTATTTAAAAATGAGGAAAATACAGCGAGGAAAACAGTTCTTTCACACTAAAGTCGTGGTCGTTAACCTCCACTAAAGGTTCACAAGGAATATAAAATCTCTAAACAGGTGAGATATTGAACAATCCAGATACCTTCTCCTGGGATGCAAACGTGGGACTTCTTCTGTCAAATGAGTCATATGAAAAATCATATGAAAAGGTTTTCCCTACGCCCTTGAGCTCGTCCACTCGAACTGTGGGCTAAAATTATAAACGCAGGTACCGCTGACTTTCAGTAATAACTTCATTTACTGCAGTATAGTGCGTTTCATTTTGTGATAATAGACCTATACCTTTTGAATGGTTGTTGCCTTCTCCTTCATATGAATTATCACCTTCGAGGATAACTGCTTTTCTCTGTGAAAAGTGTATGGGGGTGACACACAGCCCATTTTGAAAGCTTGGTGGATAATAAAAGAAGTCATTCTCCCTACCTTTTGTTCAATGGACGGACTCGGACTGCTACTCGCACCGAAGTCATTATTAATATTTTAAAAAGAAATATGACAAAACAATGTCCAGCCGCTTCCTCCACCTTTCTTTGTGCTCCTTTAAAGGAAACGTTTGGATATCTGTAGAAGTTTTCACTGCTAATTATCACACCTGAGGTTTGCTCTTGTTTTCTCCATGTACTGCACAAACTAACCGCTAGGGTGCACCCCAACTAAATTCTTTTATTTTTGCTGACCTTTACAAATAACGTGACTGTCTGATGTTCTTTAATGAGGATCAGTCGATATTTATGCATTTAAATGAGACTTTAACTGAGTTTCAAGTAGTTTAAATATCTAATAAATAAAACAGTAAATAAATTCAATGTAAAAACACGCAGGATTTATTTGATAAAACCCAATAATTTCTAAATGGCTAGAGGTGAACCTAAGGTGATTTGAATGAGGCAGTTGTAATTGCTCCAAATGAGACTCAGGAGTTCAGTTTATTTTAGCCAATAAAATGTTTATTTAAATGGTCAGGGGAAAAATACGTTGAGTTACTTTAACCACTTAATGAGCTGTTACACGCTAGCACAGTTAAAGGAGTTTAATAAACGCCTTATTTGAAATTATAATCAGTAACAATAAACGCATTTAAGGGTGTTTTGTTTGAGGAACCAATAAGAAGGCCGTCGGTAGTTTGAAGTCAACGTTTGTTTTTCTATTTTTTTATATGTAACGTGAATGTGGCTTTTTTTTTCTTAGACGAGCATTTCCCATGATGCACCGGGAAAAAAAAGACGTAACCCGGCGCGGATATTCAAAACTATGGCAGAAGACTCGAGCATATTAAAACTAATATCAAACTCCGAGGACTCGGAAAATGTGTCCACTGATAAAAGCAGAGACCTCGGGATAAAGAGACGCCTTTCCTTCTCCTCGGAAAAGGATATTAGCATAGCGGAGGCACCGAAGACACCGCCTGCGGTCCAAGCTGTATCCGACGACCCAAACTCAAGCCGAGTTTCCCCGGAAATCAGCAAACAACGTTCCCCAAGTCCCGTAAACACACATTTAAAGGGTAAAAATGCTGTAAAGTTAAAAGACGACTCTTCTAGACAGCACTGCGTGAACGACACTGACGATAAGGAAAACACCGCTATACCCTCCGATCAAAGTAGGTGACATAACCGGTGTGAGTCTGCATGTGTTCCCCAACGAGGGAGGGGGTGATCACAGTAGACCCACTGCTGTGATCACGTTTCTTAAACTATATTAAGGTTTTGGTCTAAGGATAGTAGTACTTTGTGGTTATTTTCTTGATGTAAATTTGATTTCAAGGGAGAAAACAAGAACAAGCTAGAGCTACTTCTGTTGTTCTACACTGTAAATTTTGGTATCGACTCGGTACCGAGTAAATACAGGGTCAGTTTTGCAAATACTTTTAACCTATAAAGGCAACTTTTGTAGGGAGAGCAGTGTGTCATGATTTATCGGATGAATTATCGTCAATATGCAAATGAACACATTTAACCACCATTAAATCACTGATTTTTGTTTCTAACTTTCCGCTATAACTATTTAATACAACAAAAACACACCTTTCTGCTTTTGGTGTATTTTGAAATTGAAGCAAATAGTTTGTTATTTAAATGTGCTACAGGTCATAAATAAAACAGACGTGACAGTCAACACAAAGACGTTCAGGCATTTTTCATGGTGCATGTTTGAGGGTTTAAAAAATATTTAATATAATTCAGTTTTACACACTGAACTGACAGGACTCTCACACTAGTTGTTATCTGATACTATGGATATTGGGATTGTTTAGCCCAGCTCTATCAGCTACATCAGAAATGCTGCATACAAACACATCCTACAAGTCTACAAATATATAATCTAGTGGTATAGTAGATGGGCTTTTCAGATAAATGTTTAGCTGATTTTTTGTTTGTTTGTTGTTGTTTTTTCCAGATAACACAGAGGAGGACAACACTTCTTGTCAGGGAGGTTTTAAACATATTAAAGTGACTGCCAGTATACAAAGTGATTCAGAGGACAGAGATGCCGAGGTGGTGAGGAGGGCACAGGAGGAAGGCTGCGTGAACGTGGTCTTCCCGGGGACTGTAACTCAGGAAGGCTGCTGTCGTTTCGTCAGCGAGATCCTCAAGTGCATCCTCTATCAAAGACAGCAGCTGCCCATGACGTATGACCAGTTGGTATACTCCCAGAGGAAGCAGCAAGCGTCGGTGCAGGTGAACAGGAAAAGTTTATGGTAGATGCCTCCAGCTGTTCAGTTGACGAAATGTTGGTTATGTGAGATTAACACGACATGTTTGGTGTCTCTTTTGCTTTTCAGGATAAAGACACAGTGAATCGAAGACCGGTGCATTCAGCAGAGATGGACTGGCGCAAGTGTCAGCAGACCCTTCAGGAGCTGGAGGAGGTGCTGCAGCAGCTGGAGGTGCTGTTCTCCCTCAGCAGGGTGCCCCGCGTGCTCCTGTTAATGGGTGGCTCGCTTGTCCTCCCCAAAGAGCTGTACGAGATAAACATGGAGTCCCTGGCATCATCCGGTGGGAATCAGTGTCTACGGGTGTCATCGTGCTTGAGGCAGATCTTCCGCACACTGTTTGTGGCTGACCTTTTGTCTGACACCAGACCTGTTCGTTTAATGCCCACCACAGTCTTGGTGCTGGCTCACAGGGACTGTGGTGTAGGCTGGTTTCGACCCAAACTCCAATTTAAAGTCCCAACTCGTGTAAAGAAACAAATCATCGTTCTGTCTAGCGATCCAAACGTCTGCAAGGAACTGAGGGCGGAGGGGTCAGACTGGGAGGATTATGTGTGGTTTCAGGCACCCGTGACTATTAAGGGCTTCAGTAACTGACCCTAAAAGTTGGACAGTAAGTCTTTAGAGTGTAGCACTTTCTTTCTGGTGCTTGTGTACTACAATAAATGTTAACAGCAATCCAAGGGAACTTTAAACATTTGTTTTTTTTATTAAAATGTACATATTTTATTCAATTTTGACTTATTCTTTTGTTTCAGAGTATGTTCATTCAAACAATAGTGAAATAAACAGTATGTGTGCTACCCTTTTTTCTTTTACAAATTATCATTTAAAAGAATGTTTGTCCTCATTTAACACAGAGCAACACACACTATTAGTGCAATACATTTTTAATGACCAAGACTTCTTTATGCCAGTGTCATCTGTGCATGTTTACATATATCAAAAGCTTGCAAATGATTTGAGTGTCACGAATCAAGCAATAAGATGCTGCGTGGTGTAACAATGTTCAACTTAAGGATTTGTATGTCTCCTGCTTGAAATAATAAAGGACAGATGTGCTATAACTGGTCTGCGAGTTCACTGAGGGCTTCAGGACTTCTCCACCTTCTTCACAAAATTGAACAGGTCGTCAGCAAGCAGCTGGGGCTCTTCAAAGGCTGCAAAGTGGCCACCCCTGGGCATGAAAGTGTAGGACTGGAGGTTTCGGTACCTAATTTGTGCCCATGACTTGGGGCAGTACATGAGCTCATTAGGAAAGGCTGCAAAGCCAGTGGGCACAAAAATCTCTGTCCTAAAACAAAAAATATATAATGTATAATTAGAGGCATCACATGACATGGTAAAACACTCATGTGTAGTGTGGAGAGTACACAGCGACGTACTTAAAATCTACTCTGTTGTTAAGATTACTCCCCAAATTCTCTTTGTAGAAGCGCATGGACGAGGTGATGGAGCCTGTGGTCCAGTAGATCATGACGTTTGTCAAGAGATCATCCAGGCTGAATTTTCTGCACAGATGACACAATTTCTTATCAGTCACAAACCAGCAGCTATCGCATAAATCTTGCTGAATGAAAAACAATAATCCGTAATTGTTAGAGCTGCACCGATCTAGGTCGATCCTTGCCCTGTTGACTAGTGTCGGGAAAAGGGACACTTACCAATAATTTTAAAAAACGAAAATATTTGCATAAAATCAATTATTGATCAAATTGTTAATTTAAATATCTCCACAGTCCCAGAATTTAGAAACTGTACCTCTCCAGCCCACCGTCCTCCAGATCTCTGTTCTTCATATCGGCCCAGGAGGAGAACTTCTCCAAAATCCAGGCTGCCAAGCCTACAGGAGAGTCATTCACCCCACAGCCTGCAACGATAAAGTGGTATCAAGAGCTAAAATCACTAAATTTAAGGTAGATTCTCTTACATTAGCTTCTGTTTGACCTTTTAATCCTGTCACTGTGACTATCAGAAACACTGAGCTTGCTAAACTGTGTTATGTTCACACCTGCAGTATCTGGTTTAGTGGCCTGAATGTGAAAGTAGCCCGATTCTCTCAGCATCTCAAAGACGTTCTTCTCAAAGAAAGGGAACAACCGGCGAACATCTTCCCGACTCAAACCAACCAGGAAGGGCAGATACGGACCAATCAACAAGGACAACAACACTTTGAAACCGCTATTTGACATACACATGTTTAGGTGGAGACCGTTCACGCACCTGCAAAAGAGAAATGGGGGGGGGGGGAAAAAGACGAGAGAAAAAAAACGTTACCAAGGTCACAGCGAGTGATGTTAGTTAGTGCAAGTTTTCACATTAAATCAGCTTCACTCTTCAGGAATTTGCACAGCTATTTGTTTTTTTGTAAATCTGTCCGCACAGTGCAAACAATGCTTCACAGTTCCAGTAAGAACTGTCACAATGTTTCCATTAACACAAAGCGAGTGAGGGACTTTCTGTTCCAGCGAGTAACCTGTGGCATGTTTTCTGTTTTTGTTGCACTCACTGAGGCTTCATCTGTGCCATGTTGGTGGTGATGAGCGAGCCCCAGTCCCCTCCCTGCAGATAGAACTGAGAGAAGCCCAAACGCTCCATCAGCTTCAGGAAAATCCGGGCGGCGGCCAAGCTGTTGAACCCTGGAGCGGCAGTGGAGACACATTTGTGAATATCTTCCGCCAGATTTATTTAGAATTAGTAGAGGTATTCTACCTTGTTTATGAGAGGCTTCTGAGAAACCGTAGCCAGGGATAGACG